TGGGACGGAGTCCTCCGATTTTCATGACAATTGTAAAAATATTAAGTTAACTAGAGGACCCATGCTGCTCCAAAGCGTTAAAATAAATATAATATCTAAGAAATAATCAAATTTATGATTTTTAATTGAGTAATAGAGTAAACCTATCTTGAGCTAACTGATTCAAACGATCAATAGCTCAAATAAAAGCCTATAATTTACTGATTATTTTGAGTCTAAGACATATAAAAATCATTAACAATACTGGAGCTATTGACTTTTAATCATAGAAAAACTTTACGAAAAATAATTTATGTTGGTTGTTCACCTTGTGTTTTCTTTAATCTCGTCCGATTTGAATAACTAATAGCTTAAATGAAAGCCGGTATTTAACTGATGAAGGTTCTTAGACCAAAATATAGAGGATTAGGCTATATAATTATAACTGGTTAAATACATTAGGAAGAATTCAAAAATGAATCAAATTATGTTTTTTTATAGTAATACACTACCTAGGTATTGCATAATATGCAATTTATTATAATTGCAAATTGAAGATATGCACACAAAGATTTTACATCAAGCATCAGCATGTATTATATGCTGATGCTTGATGTAAAATCTTTGTGTGCATGTCTTCAATTTGATACCTCAATCATGAAAATCGGTCGGGTAGAAGAGCCAAACGAACTCGGAAAAGAGAAACCAAATTTAACTCCCATAAGAAATACTTGGCTATGCGCATAGCCAAGTGGAGTTATAGATTAATATATGCCGATGCTTGATGGCCAATCTGTGTGTGCATACCTTCAATTTGAGACCTCAATCACGAAAATCGGTCAGGCAAAAGAACCAAACGAACTTGGAAAAAAGAAACCAAATTTAACTTCCATAAGAAATACATGGGGAGCAAATTTTGTTTACGTATAAGCCGTTTGGAACTATAGATAAATATATGCCAATGCTTGATGGCAAATATGTGCGTGTATACCTTCAATTTGAAAATTCAATCATGAAAATCGGTTGGGAAGCAGAACCAAACAAACTCGGAAAAGAAAAATGAAAATTTTTAAAATATATAATAGGCCTGTAATTAAAATACCTAAATATCTATATATACTAGCTGTAACCCGCGGGCTTTGCCCCGTTTAACTTCTTAATTTTCAAGATTATCTCGTTCGCATGGCTCAATCACGTCCTGGTTGAAGTTTGTTCGCTACGCTCACTCACCTTTAGGTTGGAGCTCGTTCGCTACGCTCACTCACCTTTAGGTTGGAGCTCGTTCGCTACGCTCACTCACCTTTAGGTTGGAGCTCGTTCGCTGCGCTCACTTGCCTTCATGTTAGCTCGTTCGCTACGCTAACTCGCCTCCAGGTTGAAGTTCGTTCGCTACGCTCACTCACCTTTTGGTTGCAAATTAGCTGTTGTCATAAATGTAAAAGAAATAATAGTGCTGCACCCTGTTGGTAATCCTTGTAACTTTAATGCTATTGAACATCATAGAACAGAACCAACTTGTTTAATTGAAACAGCTGTTAAGATTCAATAATTCCATTTCTCATAAGGTTAACATGGGAAACTCCAGAGCCACTGGGGCGGAGCCCGAAAGGATTTTTGAAATAAGAATATGCCTATATGTTAATCGGGAATGTGAGCTATCATCATGCCAAATTTCAGCCCAATCCGACCAGTATTTTTCGAGTTTACTTTTCCCATACACACATACACACATACAGCAACCACCTCTTTTTTATAATAGTACTAGCTGACCCGGCGAACTTCGTATCGCCTAAGTTATAGGTTTCCCCTAAGACAGACCGATGGAAAGAAAGTACCGTTACGTTTAATTTTCAAGATGATCTCGTTCGCATCGCTCAATCACGTCCTGGTTGAAGTTCGTTCGCTACGCTCACTCACCTTTGGGTTGGAGCTCGTTCGCTACGCTCACTCACCTTTAGGTTGGAGCTCGTTCGCTGCGCTCACTTGCCTTCAGGTTAGCTCGTTCGCTACGCTAACTCGCCTCCAGGTTGAAGTTCGTTCGCTACGCTCACTCACCTTTGGGTTGGAGCTCGTTCGCTACGCTCACTCACCTTTAGGTTGGAGTTCGTTCGCTACGCTCACTCACCTTTGGGTTGGAGCTCGTTCGCTACGCTCACTCACCTTTAGGTTGGAGCTCGTTCGCTGCGCTCACTTGCCTTCAGGTTAGCTCGTTCGCTACGCTATCTCGCCTCCAGGTTGAAGTTCGTTCGCTACGCTCACTCACCTTTTGGTTGCAAATTAGCTGTTGTCATAAATGTAAAAGAAATAATAGTGCTGCACCCTGTTGGTAATCCTTGTAACTTTAATGCTATTGAACATCATAGAACAGAACCAACTTGTTTAATTGAAACAGCTGTTAAGATTCATTAATTCCATTTCTCATAAGGTTAACATGGGAAACTCCAGAGCCACTGGGGCGGAGCCCTTTTAAGAATTTCGAAACGGGAAATAGTTTACGTCCGATTCGCATACCTACAGAATTTACACACCAAATTTCATAACGATCGGTGAAGTCGTTCCGGAGGAGTTTGCAGACAAACACTGTGACACGAGAATTTTATATATTAGATAGATAGATAATACGCTAAGCCGATTTTTGTAAACAGAACTCCTCCCACATTTTTGAACCGATTTTGATGATTAAAATGTCAAAACAATGGCCCTGATCTGTAGTTTTGCAAAGTGTTTTTAGTTTTTTAATACCTTTATTAGTTTGGCCAGGATCTTCCATCAAAGTTGGGTTTTCTCCCATAAGATTAACATGGGGGAATCTACATATTTAATTGAAACTTTGTCTCCACTAATTTGAGAGAACGGCTGGGCGTAGAAACTTGATAGTGGTGTCTAAAGAAAAGTCTTGGTCTCTAGATGAGTAGTTATCAAAAGATAAACGAAGTAAATTCGCTTAGGGCTCTGCCCCAGAAGCCTTTTAAGATCCCTCGACAGCTTTGTTTACATTTTGGCCATATAATACTTTTTAATGAAACAGCTGTTGATTTTTAAATTGTGTTTTAAACAAAACACATTTATTGGGAGTTATTGAGTTGTCCAGAAGAAGTATTTGCAATGTTATTTTATGATTTTAAAATTGATTTTCTTCTGTATCATGTCATATTTTGCAATATAACGTTTCATTACGAAATCAGTGGAAATTCCTTTTATCACAGAACTCTTACAATAATATCTTATTGAACTATCTAATATCTGTTGTACGGGTTGTTGTCTGCCTTTTTCACCACTTTTGCCTATATTTTATCATATTATTCTACAGATCATCATAGGTTCATGAGATTATTGTCATACACGTTTTCAATCATTGGAATAATAGTCGAATGTGTAATACAATACAAAATAATACAAGTGCAGAAGGGCAAGTTTTCCATTTGAGCCGTGTCCATATTTTGTTAAATTAATAGTAGTTTACAGCAACTGGATAAAACATTTTACAATATTTATGTAGATGTAGAAATATGTGCACGATTTAGAGTGTCATTAAGCTATAACTCTGCAATTTACTACAGACTTTTCAGAGAGGTTGCTATAAAGTATTCATTCATCATAGTGAACACATAATATAGATATGTATACAAATAAGAATTTGAACTCTTAGAGAGCCTTTTAATGTTAATAGAATAACGAAATGGGTTGTACAAATTTACTAGCGCTACTCAGCAACAAAAACCATTTAATTTATCTCTAATATATATATTCTTAAAGTGCACTGAGCAGCAGCCTAAAAAATAATATGTACAGTAACTTACCCATATAGTTACAAAATGCTTGAACTCGCATTGTAACATTTATAATTCGGCTTATATTTCTCCAGCAGATTATTTATCTGCAGAAGAAGTTTATTGTGCTCTTATCATGTCTAATAACATCCAAAGACAGAAACCTTGCCTAAAATGGTACCTATCTTGAGAAATTATATGCAGTGGCCTATATTACCGACCGTGGCCCACTGGGTTGTTAAGATGATTGAAAATAACACGACATTTCGGCTATAACAAAGGCATAAAGAGTAAATACTATTTAAGCAGCTACTTAAAGTATATTCCACTAAACCTAACTTTCCGTAGATGAATTAGCATAAGCCTTGAGAGTAACCGTCGATTTCGACGGGTTTCACCTAGTGATTTTTATTCCTGCATTTGAATTTCAAATTTAAATGTACATAAACGTAGGGTCAATGTTTTTAGGAAGGGGTTTTTATGCAATATATTTTTTCCACATATTTTTTGCAACAGGTAGTAGGCCTATACGGGGACTCAGTAGAAATGAGAACAAACTCCCATATAAATTGCATGGAAAACTTCAACCAATCACAGCGCTGCGTCAGGCTCTAATGCAATATAAATAGGGTGTTTGGGATTCTGTGTCCAAACAGTAACTTGTTATATAACTATTGCCACAACAAATGAGCAATGAGCACTATGATCTGTTGACTGTCAACACAATATCTGTCAAATAAGTAAATGCAGCATTTAGTGATTTGTATAGGTTATATTCAACATGCCACAGTTTGGGTGCAGATCCCTAAATGCATTATTTACCGTCTCATGGCTACAAAAACATTTGCTCATGTTCAACTTGGCTCCCTCTCCGATTTTTACAAAAACTCAATATTCAAATTCAAATAATCTTTATTTGTTTGTAGCATAGAATATGTATATACAACAATAAAACAAATAGTTTTTTAGCAAAAATGCAAAGGGTAAATAAATCTTAAAATTGCTCCCTTCCCTATTCAAAAAAAAAAAAACATAAAATGGTACACAGTTTCCACTTTCAAGTTTGCTGCCATTTTATAAAATGGCCGTCATTTTTGAAATAATATAATTAATATTTTTTACTTATTTTATGGTACTTTTGGAATGTGGATGCAATTTTAAGACTTATTTAGTCCTTCGCCCGATGGAAGGTTAGTTCTAATTGTATCCATTTTGAAAAAGGATAAAACTTATTACGTTACTTTGTTTCAGATTTAAATCCTGTAGAACGGAAGAAGTCTCCTTTAAATCTGTTGACTACTTGGCTGTGAAATATATAAAGGGTAGGCCCTAGTTATATTATTTTTTGACAAAAGTAAGGTGGTCCAAACATTACTCAAATCTCTTAAAAAAGCTATTAAAAATCAATTATTGAGGATAAATATTATTACGGCGTCTGGTAATTTATTGCTGTCAGACTGTTGCAATAGATTTTTGAAAAACTAATTTGTTGGTGAATAATATTTTTTTGTAACTTGTGTAGACTTGTCTAATACAATGCTATTATCAATTTGGCCAAGCTGAATTAGTTATTTGTTATTATTGTAAGTAGTTATTGGCGAGTTAGCTAAAACCTGAAGGCAAATGAGCGCAGCCAACGAGCTCCAAGCTAAAGGTGAGTAAGCGTAGCAAACAAACTTCAAACATGACGTGATTGAGCAATGCGAACGAGCTCATCTTGAAAATGAACGAGCATTTGATATAAGCATTAGGACAGGACGCGAGGTCTGTCGGGCCAGCTAGTATTTTATACAGGTTAAAATATTCCAAACTTCTGCCAAAATCCTACTATCCAAATTTTATTCTTCCGAATGGAGTAACGTACAGTCAATTGATTTGGATGGCTGGAGTTATAATGTAGGCACAGTTTGTAACCCAGTCTACCCAAATTGTATATTGATTATATTTTGGTTGTCCATTTAAAAAAAGTAATCAAATGTATAAATAGTAACTTATCAATCTGTTCTAGATTATATTAATTAAAATGCAGTTCTGTTAAAAAGATAAACATTTTTGTAATAAATGTTTTATCTTAAAATACGTAGAATGGGGTGAATAGAAACACTTTTTGACTTTTAAGCTTCTGTAAAACCGATATTTTTAATTTTTAAATTTTCAACACTAGCTCATGTTTTCGGTCTTGGACTCCTCTACTCAAACCAGTTATAATTTTTTTTTTCTTTTTAATCATTAAGCAGAAAAAAAATAAAATATGGCTGTTTCTATTCACCCCGCACTTTGGGGTGAATAGAAACACTGTGTTAAATTGATGATTGTTGCTTTTCCTCACTTACCAGGGGCAATAGAGACATGAAATTTATGCTTGTTAGCTTAGGTTGTTGTAAATAAAAATATTTAAAGTTAATTAACACATTTATTTATAAGTACGAAGTATAAAAACGTCGTTTTCATAAACCCTTATTTAAACAAATCGGAGAACATAAATGACAATGGGTGAAATCAGAGGAACAAAATCTTACATAGAAACCAACTAAATGAAGAGTAAAATCAGACAAATCTTCCTCAAAATACAACACTCCCTTAAATCTACAAGTTGTACACGGCTTGGGAGTTGGAAGCCGATCGTACTACGTCATCGACTTTGAAGAGGGCCTCTTAATCTGTCTCTCAGAACTTGTTGGTTTGCTCAATTTTCTTATGAATCTTCCTATATTTATCCTTCCTCGCCAAATTCAATAACTTTTGCAACATATAAACGATAGCAAGTTTTGTTTTTCCCCATTACTTTGACAATTACATGATCATGAAGGGACAACTTTGAAGACTCACTGATGTCTTGAGCTAGGTATGCTGGTTCTTCTTCATCAAATTGTTCGTCTTTGTCACTTTCTTCCAGTGTGACTGATGTAGAATCATCTTCATCTCTGGTATTTTTTTTTCTTTTTTGGGGGGTTTTCAGGTCAACCTTTATTTGCACCACTGGTTCCAAAAAAAAAGTGTTTCTATTCACCCTGGTTTTGCAAAATCATGACATAACCTAAATTAAAAATAAAGTAAAAATATATAGTTTATTCTAAGGCTAATCTATTAACACACTTGGTTTTAAGATACCTAAGACAATATAAAAAATGGTTATTAACATAAATACATGTAATAGGTTCATACTTAGAGAGAAAGTTTTGAAAAGAATGTTTTTCGCCAAAATTTTCAAATGATGTTTCGCATCATCCAACATCCGAAGCAGTGATACCAATATGCTAAACTAATTTTTCCCAGGTAGATAGGATATGGTTATAATGGGGGAAAATAATTCCCTAATATAAAGTCAATGTATAACAAAGTTATGAAAATGTGAATCATTCATTGAAGTTTTGTTTCTATTCACCCTGTTGTTTCTATTCACCCCATTTTACGGTAATAATTACTACTTACAGATTATATTGTGTTGTTCTTGTTCATTTTAGAATTCTTCCCAGAAATAATCAAGGAGAAGAAATTCTATTTAAAAAATGAAGATGATGCCCTGATTTTAATCGCCCTTCTTATGTACTCAACATGTATCAAGTTAAAGATTGACGAATTTGTCACAAAAACCTGTGCAATCAAGTTGAAAAATAATCATGAAGAGATACTTAAGCGATTTTTTGAGTTGATGCTCAAAATTGAAAACGGAAATTTTACAAGAAAAACCATAATGAATACCATCCAGCAGTGCTTTGGTGAGATTTCAATAAATAATTTGCATCGATTCAGTAAATTTCCTATATAGGGAAGCTATAGGGAATAAGCTTTTACCATAGGTCTCATGGTGAAATCTGGACCGAAACCAATTTACATTTTTGTTTTGATGTCCCCAGAGGCCTAAAACACCACCCATTAAATAATATACGTATTTTATATATATTCCCAATAGCACGTGACGGACTCTAGCAAAAATCATCAGATTTTGATGAAATTTGGGACAAACGTGCTGTAAACCTAAGTACTTTTATTCGAACAAGTTACATAAACCAATTTCGTGAACCAGGATGATCAGACCATGGGAAGGGGTTTTTTTTTTTGGGGGGGGGGGGTTTATGGGTTTGAAAATAGGTTTAGGCTATCCAATTTTTGACCCTCAAAACATAATAGTTCCCAATTTCTCGCTAAACTATTTTAAAAACGCTTGGAAAAGAAATAATTAAGTGAGCATTGAAGTTTTTTTGTGTGGTTTTTTGTTGAAGGTTATTTGTAAGGGAGAAAATGTAAAAAATTGTAAACTTAAAATTCCCGTGTTATTGTAGTACTTGTATCATTGATGTATAATAACTCTACTGGATAGCGCGCTGCGTGGTGGAAAAACGGTCCGTGCCCACCAGTCAAATTGGTGGAATACGGAGGCGGACGGGCCGAATGAACCTCTTTGTTTTACACAAACATACATTCACTCAACCTGCTCTGCTACACTTGTTTGTTAACATACCTTACCTTACCTTACCTCCTTGGCCATTGAAACCTCAGAAGGTTTTTGGCTTACATTTTTCAATTTGAATTTAAATTTACTACATTATTTGAATAATAATAGACTAGTAATATAATATAGCCAGATAATAATAATCTAATCAGACTAGTTGAAATTCGCTTAGTCTGCAGGTTTGCTGCGGCGGGGGTATTTAATTTTTGGTCAGGAAAAACATTTCTGCGACAAAGTTTTAGATCAAAGTATGAATTTTATTTTTTATTTGAAGCTTTTTTGATACGGAGTCTGCTTGTATATTTTTCAAGAGATTAAAAATAGGCATAAAATCGCTTGGCTTTTAATTATCATTATATTACAACAAATATGTCATTACATTACGAAGAATGGTAAATAAATTTACAAGCGTATGTTTATGCATTTTAATGCTTACCGTTAGTCTATAGTTAACAAAATTCTTTGAATCAAAGAATAAATGTTGGATTCCACTGTAGTATTTAATACCCGAGAAAAGATTTTGTTATTATTTTACTTCAGTGAGAATAATCAATAAATTTGAGATACTGGCATGACATATTATACACTCATTTTATTTAACAACATATGTTTTCCATACACGTTAATCATAGGATGTCAAAGAAACATACTATAATATAAACAAAATAAATATTCTTAAATGTTGCAAAGTCTCTCAATAATAATTGGGCCTCACAGCAGCAAATGATGACATGATTATGTTATCAAATAATTATTGTGATATATTTTGTTCTGGCCAATGTTCAAATGTAAATAAATCTAACTCTTTCATAAAATCACTAAATTTTTTATGAGATTTACTTTTGACACATAGTCTGTAATGCGTGAGCAAGTACGTAGATTAATAATTATATCTGCTTATAAAACCTCCTCAAGTTCGTTACAATCAATTAGGTAATACCCTATAGACAACCTATAGGTGATAGGTGACCCATAGAAATATAACATTGTCATCACCAAAGTACTGGTAAGAAAGTATATTCAAATGAAACAAAGAAGGGTAAAACAATTACACAGTCATTACATCTAAATCTACTGGATCTGTGATGAAACAAAGAATAATCAGGTATAACATCGGGCCAATAACGTCAGCGACCTGAGTTAAACGTTTATTAAGAGCAATAAACATTAGCGACCTGACGAATTTGGCCGTCTTTGTCGATAGTGCCGTTGTAACAGCGAAAATGGCGGTAAAGGATCGTTGTGACAACACGAAAACCCCCTTCCCCACAAAAACTATGATATTCATCATTAAAATAATGTTATTAGAATAAATAATAATAATAATGGTTTAATTTACCTCTGTCAATATGGTCCTTCCGTGTAGTTTGTCACTATTGCAGTTTCGTGCTCGTGGAGCACATATTCAGGTGAAGGTCAAAAAGTTAAAACATTTTCCTCACGTGAAGGTCGTCAATTTTTGAAAACACACCGAAAAACACATGACACATGAACGGTACGAAAAAAAAAATTTATAAACTTGGCCAATACATTAAAAACGTTACACACGGGGTCCGGCGCCGGTAGAAGACAAGACATGACTGACGTGTGCCGTAGTCGAATATATGGACACCATCGAAGAATTTGAGATTTACCGAGCAGTTTAAGTACATCCAAACCATATTTTAAACGAACAACTCTCATTCCAGTCTAACATTATTTATAATACCGCCAATCACATCCTGGAACAAGACCAAAGAAAAGGTTCAGATAAGAGAAGTGAGGATGGAGGGGCTACCGACTACGGCACACGTCAGTCATGACTTGTCTTCTACAGGCGCCGGACCCCGTGTGTAACGTTTTTAATATATTGGCCAAGTTTATAAATGTTTTTTCGTACCGTTCGTGTGTTATGTGTTTTTCGGTGTTTTTTCAAAAATTGACGACCTTCACGTGAGGAAAATGTTTTAACTTTTTGACCTTCACCTGAAGATGTGCTCCACGAGCACGAAACTGCAGTAGTGACAAACTACACGCAAGGACCATATTGACAGAGGTAAATTAAACCATTATTATTGTTGCTGTATGGTCCAGAGGCTACCCATCATGAAAATAAATAAGTTTATAGACGTTAGCGAACTGACAGACAATAAACAACAATTACCTCAATAGATATTATTTTGCGATTAAATGGAAAATGAAATCCGGACAAACACTGCATAGTCCACTCTATCCATCTGTCATGGCGACACTGATGGCTCTGGCGGGACTCTAGGAGCGCTAGGGGTGATTATGGCGGCGAATTCAAATTGCCATTAATACTTGGCGTTTTTTTTCGGCGTTTTGTTTTTATTAATACTTGGGACTTACGTTTACATGCTAAAATTTTGTTTTAATATGATCATTTAATTGTAAAACACTTAATAGGGTTTAATAAAGACACAGAAGAACTTACAGCATAAAAGTGTATTTATTTTTATTTTTTTAATTTCCTAAACTGATTCAAGTTCCTCCATGACGTCTTGGGAACAGTTAGGGACCTGACAAAAACTTCAAATATTGTTTTTTGCTGGGTCATAAATTCTCTCAATTTGATATTCACTCGTATACATAACATTATTTTCTATCTTTGAATTACTATGGGCAGTTTGCTGGGCCACCTTGAGTACTAGCATACCGAGGGTTTTTCCTCTCTTTAATTTCTTATAGGCCTACACAATTGGACAATACTAGGTAATTTTAGTTGAAAGCTACAGATGGTTTTTTGTGAATATAATAATTTGTTTCAGAGCCTGAGGTTGTACCTGTTGGAAGAGCATCTCTCTCACCTTCACAAAAGAATTGTCTTAAAGAATTTCTTAGGGTACGGCAATTACTACTTTACTATTGTATTATATTACTATTACTTTACTTTACTATTATATTAGGTACCTATTTTAAGTATTGACATTGTATAGCCTACTTTCTTATGACAATTTAACTCTCAGTGCATAGGAACGAGAATAACATATCTGCTGAGCTTGACATCAGCATTCTTAAGTTATTTTTTATGTTTTTTTTTTTAAGGTAAAAACTTTATCCCGATATCAAGGATGTTTTTCTTTACCTACAGACATGGCAGCTGCTGGGGCCTGGGGGCCTCACAGGACACTGGTTTTGCTTAAAAAATTGATTTCACCCATAACATCCATTAGGGGTTTGATTTTTGAGTTGAGCTTTTATTCTTATGACCACTGGAAGCGTCTGCGAAGATTGCACGATGAAAATTCAGTATTTCTTTGTGACTGCAGTTCATGATTTCTAGCTCTGCGATCAAGGAAGATGGCTCTGGGACCTCAGAATATGTTCATTATCTTGGAGTGAGTGTAAAAGACGTCCATGATTTCACTGCAGGGGACCTTCAAGATTTTTCGCAATCGAGGATAATGTTTAAAAATGTTTATGCTATAGTTGTACAATTCGTTCAAATTAATTGTAGTATAGCAACTAATATTGTTGTTGTACAATTCGTTCAAATTAATTGTAGTATAGCAACTAATATTGTTGTTGTACAATTCGTTCAAATTAATTGTAGTATAGCAACTAATATTGTTAAAAATCAGTACTTTCCAAAGCAATTCGATTTTGACCCAAGAATAACCTTTTTTTACCTAACCCAAAGTATACATGTCTGGCTCGCTCGTCTAGATCCCTATTATTAATAAATGAAAAAAATAATGTATTATTTAATCCCCTAGCCTTCTAGTACCATTCGCCAATCAAATAGTAAAAGTTAATTTAGTTGAAGATCAAACTTTGGATATTTCTAAACCCCCTCATGCTTACACCAACGAATAATCAGAATTCAGAACAGAGAGGCCTCTCAAGATTGAGCCGGTTTGGGCGACATTCATTTTAAATATGGCCTTGTCTGATGTCTGAATTAAAATTAGGAGGCAAAAATCACAGAGTTTGTTGCATTATAAAATCCAAATAACCTCAGATAGGCTGAAACACTGTCTCCAGTATTCAAAAGTGGAGAGCATTATTTCTAATTCATAAGTGTCAAAACTTCTTCAAAACATTTAGATGTGTATTTCATTCAATTTTTGTTGTTTCAGTCACCATCTCTCGAAGAAAAATACAAAAAGAACAAAGAGGTAAATGATGTCAGACATCTTAATCAATTACTTCAAGAGGAAAACGCTGAATTGTTGTCAGAACGAGACTTTCTGTCAACAAAGAATCAACAACTTGATTCATCTGTACAAAAGCTTCGTAGGTGGACTTAAATTTACTATAGATTTTAAGAAATTAAAAAGTGTTGGGCTCTAATTAAAGAAAGGTGCCTCAAAGCCAAAGGTGTTGATGATTTTAGAGTGAGTTATTTGTTATATTTTCTTAGCTTATGAAAATTCCTTCTTTCAAAGAAACTCATGTTGGAAAAACAGATTTGACAGATTAAACACATAAAACCACTTTAGTGACATGTCTAGATGGTTGGTTTGTATTTTTACCTGTCTTTACTCATGTGATATTAGACACATTATTCCTAGTAAAAATAAACAAATTGTTTATGGTTTTATGTGCTTTATTTTACAGAAATTCAGCTGAGCGAAAAAACTCAAGAAATTATTTCCTTAAAGAAAGAGTTGAAGCTGCATGAAGACAAAGGCGCCCCACAAAATGCACTCAATAAAATTGAAAACCAGTTGAAAGAAGAACTTAATCAACTTCAAAAAGAATTGAAAGAAATGGAATCATTTGCAATCATCATGCATGATCATTTTCGGAAAGAAAAAGAAAAATACATTTGGCTGGTTAGTCGTGTAGTACATACTTTTATTTGTTATTTACTGTTCTCACTGTTTATTTTCTACAAACGTAAATTGTTTGATAGCAATAAATATATAATTGATTTTTTTTATAATTTGAACACTAAGGGATTTACTGGAATTGTTGTGAATTAATACTAAAACTATTGTTCAACAAAATAGGCTTATTCACAACTTTCATCCACAGTATTAAGAATAAAAGTTTATCTACGACTTATGTAATATGTACTCCTAAAATGTGTCAATCACTCAAATCAATCCACCACTGAATAAAATTTCATAACATATTATTATTATAGTGAGTGGAAGAAAGCTAATGACTCTTTAACCTCAACTTACTTTTCAAGATATTTTACACTTAAAGTTTATTTGTATTTCAATTTTGATCATAACACCTAAGTTTGTATCCCAGTATTATTCATGTTATCTCCTCTCTGGGAAATTCGGGAAAACCGGAAAGCCTCCGGGAATTTAATTTTACCTTGAAATATCTGGGAAACTCCAGTTAAACCAAATCCTCCGGGAATCTGGAGCCCGGTCATTGTAAACGTCAGTTAAACGAAACACTACGAAAACACTAAGAAACACTACCGCTGGTTCAATTCAATTCGAATTCTCTTTATTCATTCACGGTACAAGTTTTTATACAATGAATAGCGTCAAATAAATATAAAGATGAATTATGCCTTACTTATCGCTAAAACAATCATTATCATTATTATTATGGTTTTGTCCCGATTGGTTAAAACGATTATCGGTGTTGCCAAAATCGAAAAATATGCTCACGGGTATTGCCACGATCGCGGACAACGATTATCAGTGCCGCCAAAACAGCAAAATATGCTCACTGGTACTGCCCCAGTCGCAGGAGAAGATTATCATGTCGCAGAAACTGCAAGATATGGTCACGGGTATTGTGGCGATTGCGGGAGACATTAAATTGCTTGGTTAAATTGTATCATCCCTTGATTAAATTATCCCTTGACATTAAATTAATTGGTGTCGCCGCAACTGCGGGAAACGTTCGTTTACCGGTGTCGCCGAAACCGCAAAATATGCTCTCGCGTAATGCCGCGATTGTGGGAGACGATTATCGGTGTCGCCAAAATTGCAAGATATGGTCATGATTATTGGGGCGATAGCGGGTGACGATTGTTGGTGTGACAATTTTCTGTGACCAAAGACAATGTTTTAACAGTTGGGTTTCTCATATGCGATTGTGAACAGAGATTTGTGAATGTTTACGCAAGCAAATTCTGTACCTCGTTTGAGGTGAAACCCTTGTAAACTCGTCCTAAAACCATATTAAAAGAAAATGGCACTAAAATAAAGTTTTCCCAGTTAAATTTTACAATTCACTTACTATACTGTAAATTTTAAAAAATTACAGTTTACTTTCAAATATCTTATAATTTTAATTTAGTCACTGTCCAAAAACTTATCTATATATATATATCTATCTATATATTAATAGGCAAGCATGTTTCTTTAAAACCTTTTTTCTCAGCTCGTGTGCATCGCAGGGAAAATCTACGCATACTGTTGGAAAGATATTTTCCTGTAGATGTGCAGAATGCCTTTAAAAGTTAAAATAGGCTAACAAATAAGCACAAAAAATTAATTTGAAAACTTCAAAAAATAACATGGACCATATGGGTTGCCATGATGGTGACGAAATAACAACAAAATGTAAACAGAAAATCAAAACAAAAATGGAAGAAATTCCAATCACATGTTTTATTTACAGTGTGGGGAGAAAATAGAGAAGTCTGTACATTAATTATTTTTGGTCGAGTTTCGACCACAGGACGATCACTAGTATATATATAATAGGCAAGCATGTTTCTTTAAAACCTTTTTTCTCAGCTCCTGTGCATCGTAGGGAAAATCTATCCTTACTGTTAAAAAGCTATTTTCCTGTAGGTGTGCAGAAACCTTTTATAAATTAAAATAGGCTCAAAGATAAGCACAAAAAATGAATTTAAAATTTGAAAAAATTAACATGGATCTTATGCGTTGCCATGCTGGTGACGAAATAACAACGAAATGTAAACAGAAAATCAAAACAAATTTAAGAAATTCCAATCACATGTTTTATTTACAGCGTGGGGTGAAAAATAGAGAATTCTGTACAGTGCAATAGGATTTTTTTAGCTAGAAGTGGTTAAAGGTGTTGTGGAATATCTTTGAAGATGAATCTATTTAGTGCTATCATGTGTTCATTTTGTGTCAAATTTTGAGGTTAAATCAAAACAAACAAACTGGCATAATATATTATTGGAATTTGACAATAGTTTTAAATACTTACTCTACTTTAAAAAAATCACTTTGTCATTAGAGAATCTTTACTGTGAAATAGAGACGTGATTCCTAATTCCAAATCAACTAATTAATAAATTGTTATTTAATTATTTCCTTAAAATTAAGTGATGGTTGCTTTGAATTAATAATTAATTTACCTAACACGAGCAGATATTAAAATATTTAATCTCAAAATTAATATCAAAATGAACATTGATACAGTAATAATTATTATAAACAGGGATACACATGATAAACTGTTGGGACATAATGATGATTTACGATTCTGAAAACGTAGATAGGGAGAAGGTGCCATAGCACCGAATCCTATAGTGCCGAATTGTGTTTTGAGTCCCAATTCTCCGAATATCACGTTCGACGGAATAACAATTTAAAGTTCTAAATTGCCGAAAGAGATGTTTGTGTTAAACTGCCGAAATATATATTTTAAAATCCTAATCCATCGAAAAAACAGTACAAACGTGTTAAAGTATCGAATTAAGAATCATTCCAACAGCTCCGAAAGTGAAATAAGTCCTAAACTCTCGAATCTTATTGTTTTCGGCTATTTAAGACGATTTAAACTTACTTTCGGCTATTTGACACAAAAAAATGCCAACCACCCGAACAATAGAAGCCCCACCATCCGACCGACGTGTCCGATTGGCTGATCTACAACCAATACGCTGCAAGAGTACATCATGGCCGGCCATCGCTGCCAGCCCAGGAAGTTCACCCGTTCACTAGCGCCCTTCCGAACAGCGGTCAGTATAATAACTAACTTCAGTCAGACACCAGGACCAGACCAGGGCCAAACAGATCAACGTCACCCACCAAAGTCATCTCCACTCGAATCTCAATATGGCCATTGATTAATTATTGAACCCAGAAGATATAACCATTGTTTATCTACTTGTTACATATTACTAACCTTGTAAGTGTAAAAAAAGAGCTTATGTTTAACTTAGGAATATGTATCATTAACTTTCCACTTAAAATTATTTGACATCACAATCGTCAAAGTACTTAAATTATCAATAAAATAGCTTAGGTTAGGGTATATCATACAGTGCAAGCCAAGACAAAATACTGACCATACAATGAAAGATTTCCATTGCGGCAAATAAACCAACTCATCAAATTACGCAATAGGCAAACCTTCAATTTACTTACTCAATACAATATTCGGCTACTCTTAGAAAGAAGGTAGGCTATTGTGATTGTTGGTATTGGAAAAGTCTATCAGGGATTGCTGTAAGAAAGCATAGTAAATTGAGTTAATTTATTTGTGGTCATGAAAAAAGGTAGTGCTCTGGGCCACTGTGGACTTAAGTTACACACAAGACAGAGCCAATTTGTAATGCTGATGCTGTAGTATTTAACTTAATTTGCCTATATTTTAAGTTTTTGTAAGCCCGATATATTGAATAAACAAATCAAGGTTACTTATTTGACAAAAAGAAACTGTTACAAAATCTCATTTATCTAGAGGCCTGAATTTGGGGTTTTATTACATAGCCTTTAACGCTTTAACGCTTAGGTACAATATAATCATTTCCTAAAAAAATTGATCATTCAAGTTTTTAACTTGCTACTGGCCTAACTTATATTAACGATGAGCTACTGTAAGTTTAAAAGCCATTGTAACTATGTTTTGAGCTACTGAATTAGCCTACTTGTCAAATTTAATAAATGAATAGTATATCTTCAGCAAAAAACAATTGGGACCAATGTAAAGGTTTTGTTGTTGGAACAAACTTAGTATATGAATTTCAATCTAGCTTGGCTTAGAAAGCATTGTTATAACTTATATATTGGTACTTTCGTATTATACGGAGGCCATCCTTACACAGCGTTCTGGGGCCATGGTGGAAGGAAAAAACATTTTTTTCCTTCCACCATGTTCTGGGGCGGTAATGTTAGTTTGGTCTATCATATACAACCTAAGTTGTTTATGATAATATGATTATATTTGTTTACATTATATATATATAAGTTTTATGATAACCCAATCCAAGTAAAAAACTTCATTCAATTTTTATAATTTTAAACAACCAAAAACAATTAGGCCCTCTGGCCAATTATGTCAAGTACCATACATTACTGCAAAAGTGTGATTGACTTTCCGTCAAAGCGCTAGTTGTTTAAATGGAAGTAAGTTAAAGTAGTTAAAGTACGATTCGAATTTACCCTCTACAACTTCTATTTCTAGGTAACGCTGACTGGATATATAATCATTGCCCACAATTTTATGCTTAAAGATCTACATTTCATTAGGAGAAGTTTAACGATACGAATTTACCCTCTACAACTTCTATTTCAAGGTAACGCTGACTGGATATATAATCAATGCCCACTATTTTATGCTTAAAGATCTACATTTCATTAAGAGAAGTTCTAAGAAGCGGATTTACCCTCAGCAACTTATATTTCGGGATAAAGCTCACTGGTTATATAATCAATGCCCACAATTTTATGCTTAAAGATCTACATTTCATTAAGAGAAGTTAAAAGAAGCGGATTTACCCTCTACAAATTGTATTTGAAGGTAACGCTGACTGGATATATAATCAATGCCCACTATTTTATGCTTAACTATCTAAAGTTCATATTTAGAAGTTGAACGAAGCGAATTTACCCTCTACAACTTCTATTTCAAGGTTACGCTGACTGGATATAATCAA